TTTTTATGTAATCGATATGTATTTTTTAGTCGTTACATATTTTGTAAAACACATCGATATTATTACATAATTTTTAAGAGAAATCGATGACCAAATAAAAATTATTAAAACGTTTTAAATTTGCTCTTGAAATTTTAAAGAATTAAATTAGCGTTACGTAGCGATAATTAAATTTAAAATGATGATATAATTTCTAAGCAATGTCTTTATAAGAATTACCAACTTCAATTTTCCCCTTTATTATTACTTATTCGGCAAAAATTTCAAATAATAATACATAAGATTATGTAAGGTTATGTAAAAAATTTGCCCATCCCTATTTGTTTATCGATTAATATGTCAGTAAAATATAACGTTAATTTTAAACCCACCTATATGGTTATACGTATGTAATATAATTTCTAACCATTTCTGTGAATTTCAACATAGCCACAAATATAATCTTGCCATTTTTTTTAATCACGATAAATTATATTGTTTTAACAGTTATTATTTATAGTGCTCAATTAAATTACTTTAGAAAGCTTAGCTTGAAGAAATTTATTGGTGATTTTTTATTTAGAAAACGATGAATATCATGCACAGCTTTAATATGTATTTATATTTAAGAATTAATAACAGATTTCGATTAAGATATAAGATAATGCTTTTTTAAGGGTGATATCATAATTCGATCTTCAGATTTAATCCGCTTAAATGTGTGCGTATAAAACATACGATTGTACGCTCACAGCCACTAAAATATTATATTACCGTTGGATTTTAAACATAGCCATTACATAATAATGCAAAAGGAACGGAAAAAAACAAGGCATGCACTCATATGTATTGATCGATCTCTTAGATTTAATTACATAATTCAACGTCAAAGTCTGTTAAAAAAAACTTATTAATCCTTTTTGTTAAGACAATTTAACATATTAGGTATTTTGTATGACTTGTTCTAATTTCGTATCATTTCTTGTAAAATGTGAGAATTAGATTTTTAATAGTTAGACCAACCGTAAAGAACTTGACAATGAAACGTTAAAATTAGTGAATCGGTGAGAATTTTAAAAATATCGAGCACCAAGAAAAACTTTTGAGGCTTTGAGAATGAAAGTGATAATGGGGGAATTGAAACTTTTAAAGATTGTTCAAATGGGGTATATCGAGAAATCAATGTTGTTTAACAAATTTCGTATAAATTTATATGTCACCCAACAAGTATATAAACACCATTTTCAATCCTTCTTCCAAACTTCATTCACTCATCACTGAAAAAAAAATCTCAAAATAATAAAAATCAACAAATAAGCAATAAATAGACAAAAAAAAATAAAAAAATGAAATTCCAATATACATCCGTTTTATTTGCTATTTTCCTCGTGGTCTCTGCTACCGCTGCACCTACACCAAGTATGGTCTTATTCACTTTCGTTTCTAAAATTTTATAAAAAAAATAACTTTTTTTTTTTTTTTTTTTTTTAGGTAAACGTGAGGCTAAACCTGAAGGTACTGATTAATTTCATATTTTCTATCTGATAATCTTATTGTTATTAACTTTTTTTTTAATAATAGAAAAACGTGCCGCCGTTCCCGGTGGTTACGGTTATTATAATGATTACAATAAAGATTATAATGATTACTATAAAG